TTAATTTAAACCTTTTATATGAAAGTTATAACCTAATAACAACCTAAGGATATGGGGAGGGGGGGAGAGGGTGGAGGGAGGGGGATTCGAGGGTTCACTTCTGTGGTTTATCTTACAAGGGTACAAGTGAATCTTTCTATGAGTAGAATATGAACATTTTAACACAATAACTAAGAAAATTACATGAAGGCTATGTTAACCAGTTTGATGGAAGTGTTTCAGATTGTGTGTGAAAACACCACACTGTACCTCAGAAATGCATTAATGTACACAGTTACCATTCAATTAAAAAAAAAAAAACACATCATAGTCAAGATTCTGGAAACAAAAGACAAAGAAGAAATCCTGAAAGCTCTAAGATAGAAACAACTTAACCAATAGGAGGAAGACTCTTCTAATTTAGAGGAATTTTTGTAGGAACTTGCAGATGCCAGAAGAATGTGGCACATTTTTCTTTTTTTGAGACAGAGCCTCAAGCTATCCCCCTGGGTAGAGTGCTATGGCATCACAGCTCATAGCAACCTCCAACTCCTGGGCTCAAGCGAGTCTCCTGCCTCAGCCTCCCAAGTAGCTGGGACTACAGGCGCCCGCCACAACGCCTGGCCATTATTTGGTTGCAGCCATCATTGTTGTTTGGCAGGCCCGGGCTGGGGATTCGAACCCGCCACCTTAGGTGTATGTGTCTGGCACCTTAGCCGGTTGAGCCACAGGCGCCGAGCCACATTTTTCAAGTGCTGAAAAGAAGAGAACTGTCAACACAGAATTCTATATCCAGCAAAAATGCACTTTAGGAATGAAGGGGAAATTAAGAGTATCTGTCATCAGCCAATCTGCCCTCAAAGAATGGCTGGAGAAGCACAAGGAAATGATAAAAGTAGGAATTTAGAAACATCAGGAAGGAAAAAAATAAAGAGTAAAAATAAGCATAAAAACAGCTGGGCTCAGGGGCTCACGCCTATAATCCCACCATGGTGGGATGCTGAGACAATAGGATTGCTTGACCTCAGGAGTTCGAGGCTTGTCTGAGCGAGAGTGAGACCCTGACACATGAAAAAAATTGAAAAACCTAGCTGGGCCTCATGGGCAAGCGGCTTTGGAGGCTGAAGCAGCAGGATGCCCACAGCCTGAATCTGAGGTTGCAGTGAGCTACGACACCATTGCACTCTACTCAGGGCATAGGGTAGAATTCTATCTCAAAAAAAAAAAAGAAAGAAAGAAGAAATAAGCATAAAAACAATACATTTTCCTTCTTCTGAGTTTTTAAAGTTGACTGACAATTGAAGCAAGAATTATAATACTGATATGGTTCTGAATATATGTAGAAGAAAAACTTCAGTCAATTGTAGTATAAATGAGGCAGGATAAAGATATATAAAGGTATATAATTTTTACATACCTTTTACATTTTACTAGAGATCTAAATACGAATAAAAATGAAGCAGCAATTTTCACCTGTCACCAAACATTAACATTTTTACTGGTTCAGTGAGACCATCAGGGATGTGATCTCCATCATAACTGTTTGGAGGGCAACTTTGACAGTATCTATCAATTTTTAATATCAAGTATTGACACAGTAATCCCTTTTCCAGTTATCTATTTTTTTGTTTTTTTGAGACAGAGCCCCAAGCTGTCTCCCTGGGTAGAGTGTCGTGACATCACAGCTCACAGCAACCTCCAACTTCTGGGCTCAAGCGAGTCTCCTGCCTCAGCCTCCCAAGTAGCTGGGACCACAGGCACCCACCACAACGCCCAGCTATTTTTTGGTTGCAGCCATCATTGTTGTTTGGCAGGTCCGGGCTGGATTCGAACCCGCCACCTTAGGTGTATGTGGCTGGCACCTTAGTCACTTGAGCCACAGGTGCCGAGCCCAGTTATCTATTTTAATGGAAACATTCACACAAAATATATAACGATGTGTACAAGATGTTGCAAAAAATGACAATAATGTGTATCATTAGATGAATTGTTACATCATGGTAAATCTGTCCTATAGGATACTGTGTGGTCATTAAAAAAGGGGAGAGGATGTGCTTTCTTTAGTGTGTGAGGTAATATCAATGTTATATATAATTGAGAGAAGAACACACACCTTTGCATAATAGTAGATCCCATTTTGTCAAAACTAAAGGATGTAGAATCACATATATACAAACAAATCTTTATATGTTTATATTTTTGTGCACAACAATGGAGAGTGTATGTTTATATTTGTACATATTTTAAAGGATACATAATAAAAAGTTCATAGTAGCTTCCTTTATCCCTCTGTAAGTAGGGGGTGAGGTATAGGCACAGGTCAGAGGTATGTATACTCCCTTTCTCTGTGTTAACTGTGTGTTCTTTTGTTTTCATTTTGGTTTTTGAGACAGTGTCTTTCTCTGTTGCCCAGGCTGTGGCAAAGTCATAGCTCACCTCAGCGTTGAACTCCTGGGCTCAAGCAGTCCTCCTGCCTCAGCCTCCCAGGTAGCAAGGAGTATAGGCACCCACACCATGCCTGGATAACTTACTTTTTATAGAGGTGGGGTCTCACTATGTTACCTAGGCTGGTCTCAAACTCTTGGCTGCACACAATCCTTCTACTCAGCCTCTCAAAGCACTAGGATTATAGCACCCAGACCATTATGTATCCTGCTAGGCATTGAGGATACAGATTTTTGCATAGAAATAAGTATTATGGCCAGATGTGGCATCTCACGCCTATAATAATCCTAATACACTTGGAGGCCTAGGCTGGTAAATTGTTTGAGCTCAGGAGTTCAAGACCAGCCTAAACAAAAGCCAGACTCCATCTCTACTAAAAATAGAAAAACTAGCTAGGCCTGTGGCAGATGCCTGTAGTCCCAGCTACTTGAGAGGCTAAGGCAGGAAGATCTCTTGAGTCCAAGAGTTTGAGGTTGCTATGAGCTATGACCCCACCAGACTCTACCCAGGTTGACAGAATGGGCCTCTGTCTCAAAAAAGAAAGAAGGAAGAGAAATATGTTTTGTTTTGTTTTGTTTTGCTTTGTTTTGGGGGGGTTTACATGTGTAATAAGCTACAATTTCTTTTTTTTTTTTTTTTTGAGACAGAGCCTCAAGCTGTCCCCCTGGGTAGAATGCCGTGGCATTACAGCTCACAGCAACCTCCAACTCCTGGGCTCAAGCGAGTCTCTTGCCTCCGCCTCCCAAGTAGCCG